ATTAGCGGATCCAGAGTTAATCTGTAATTTAATATTGTCATACAATGCTCTTTAACACTTCTAATTATTGATGATATTTCAAGTTCACAATTTCAGCTTATGTCAAAAGGCTTTTCCGATTTCATTTACACTATTGAATTTGATGTACTGGACGTATTATACCGCAAGGGCGAGTGACTAATTAATGAGTATTACTTGTCTAATATATTCGGTCTTGAATGATCATTCTCTATCGCTTTATGACAAAGCTGCTTTGGTTGATTTGCATTCATTAAATAGTTTATGATTTTAAATGAAGTACTATCATGATAACTGTATCCTGCTATCTTCAAAAGAAACCGCAGGTTTCGTAAGCATTATCTGAGGAAGAGAATGGTCGCTTTATGTTCACAACACAAAATTGTATAATGTATTCTTAATATTTTGCATTTTGATCTTAATAATTTATGTGAACTGCTCACTAATCACATTTGTTTTGTTGTACATCAGTGCTATTGGATGAATATTTAAGAGCAAAAACAAGTTGTCCATATCTTCAACATTCTGCTATTCTATCTTCTTCCTGTCCGGAAACTCAGTTCGAGTATAATGCAAAATTGACTATTCATTTCCATTTCATGCATTTACGGCCTTCAAAAATTTGACGTTATTGTTTGGATGCTTTTTTCCATAACCATTGAAATAAAAATATTTGTAAAACAGTAATCAATCAGTGTTAGCACATTTCAGTACTGACCAAACAGATTTGACGAAGTGGTGGAAACTGGTTGTGATAAAATATGCAATATTTTGGTGGCTAATTAGTTTATCGGAAATCGATAAATATTTATCAGTGTTGAAATTTCATTTGTTCTAAAATAAAAAATTGTGCGCTACAGAGCTTACTATGACAATAAGCATTCCTACGCAAATTGTTGGAACATAGGAATAGCACGAGTTATTCATAGTTAGGCTATCTATTGCGTGTATCAGTGAAGATTTTCCCTCGGCTATTTCCTTCACGTTCGACATTTCCAGTTCAAATCGGACATCCGTTTCAGCTACTTCCTTCATATCTGGTATTTCGGTTTTAAGTTGAACATTCGCTTCACGTATTTCCTCTACGGATTGAAGTTGGATATCATCTTTGCAAACATTTGAATGAACTGAAAATGGAAGATGAAATATTACAGCGATGAATTACCTGATTCGAACGTTGTCGCAAGGCCTTCAAATGTTCAATGAATTTAAATCTTAAAAAAATTTCATTTCTAGATTTTACTGCGCTCACATATGGCTTATGCATACCAGTAAATTCCTAAAATTAGTTTACTTTGATAATTTAAAATCAATAAGTTTACCAGTAGTCATTTCATTCTCACTGTTTATCACTTTCGTCCCTAATTTGGCAAAATCTTGCAACATATGTTTCCAAATTTCCTCATATGTATGCCAAGTTATCCTTGGATTAATTATTTCTTGTACTAAATTCAGAAGCTCTACTTCCTGCTCATCCAATATCTGTCAACAATATTATTCATATTAATGTTATCTGTGTTTTTATGATATTACTTGTTGAATGGCCTGGTCCAAAAGTGGGATTGAAGGTCAATCTTCTTGTATGGTTAAGTCATTACATTCCATAATTTTCAATTTCAAACAAAAAAAATTTCTAAACTCACCCGAGTTTCATTGATTTCACCATAAAGCGCTTCTCTTATTTCCGGTTTCTGTAACCAAGCGACAATTTCTTTGTGATACAAAAGATCCGCTACTCTCTTCACAAACTCGCTTTGGTCTTTCTGCAAACCATAAATTTTGAAAGTTCCTTAACATGGAGAACAAACTGCCAGTTCAATTAATATTTCATAGCGATTTTGCACAGATAAAATAAAAGGAATCATCGAATGATGTCATCTTTTGACCTTTACAAAGAACCTTTGCATCCGATGACCTCACCTACGAAACTGAATGTGCAGACACTGTCCTTCTTCAATTGAATGAAAAAAATGAATCTGTTTCACCTCTCTTTGTTGCACTATAGCTTCCTTAAGTCTGTCCATGTCATTATCAAAGGCATGCATTAATTCATTCAAAGAATTTAACTGAGCCTTTGCTTCTCTCAATTTGTAATCAGTACGTACCTAAACAGTTTCTATGTCTTTCTATTTGAAAAGAGAATGAATGCCTTTGTTATTATTGAATTTTAATATTAATTGCTTGTTAAATTTTCCTAAGAAATCGATATGAGCATATCATCAAAGTTTAAAAACAAAAATAATAAAGTATGCTAAAGGCTAAAATAACTTTTACGGTCTTTAGATCGAAAAATGCCGATCATCAATAGCCCAACTTGAAAATGGATCTGATAGGCCTGGTACTCTACTATTTTGCTTAGGCATGTACGATTCCTAAATATTCCATCCAATTTGCTTTTTGAAAGCAAATACAACTGACTCATTTTAAATGTCCATTTTTACATTGCAGAATAGTAACTCATTTATAACACATAAAAGCATACACAGTGCTCAACAAGAACATTTCGTTCCTCAAATTCCGCCTTCCAACGCTTCAGCTGTATCTAAAAAAATTTTAATTCATTTATTTACAAATTTATATTACCTGTGTTATTAATTTAAATAAAACTAACGTATCGCATTTTCTGATATTTCTTCTTTCTAAGGAGAAGCCTTTTAACTTCATCAAATGGCTTAAATATTCTGATTTCAACTGGTAAACTCGAAGATACCGCTTCATCCTCCATCGACATCATCTGTTTCAAAACTTCAATGTCAGATAACTATTAAAAAAAAATCAATTACTGTTTATAAATGAATTGCATGTTCGCATGGGAAACTCTTTATTGTGAAATTCTTAGACTTGAAAATACGAACTAGAATGGTATAGAGTATTCAGACTGATTTAAACTTCGACCTTCTCAAGCTTTGGATTTGAAAGCTAATCAGAAGCTGAAATAAGACGTAAATAATGGTAAGAAAGTCGCTAGTAAAAATCATCGAACAAGCAGAAATTCAGTCGAATAATATTTGATAATATAAGTGTGAAAGCGAGAAGATGCGCTGACTTATAACCTTAGGAAGAAGTATTGGATACTGATTGTTAACTCTGACTTCTCAATCGGTTGGTCAGAATCTTTTTCGATTTGCTCCTATATTCTCGAAAATTCCAAAGAAGGGAAACGAAACATCTTGACCTATATATTGCCGATCAGATCATTCGAGTACTTTACGATTCAGAATAATCACCTTGTCTTCCCACTTAACCTCTCGGTTATTCGGTGGACCGCTTGCCGTACCGGCTATGAACTTCAGCTTCATTGGTATAATTTTGAATTTGTTTAATTTTGAATGTGAGAATTTTCGCATTAATTTTCTACTTGTTGGACGAGAAAATAAGAATGCAAATGGAAATTTGCGTCACCGATCGGAAAGTCAAATCTCGCATTGTTCCTCCAGAATCTTCTGTAATCATCAGAAGATGGTACATGTAACCGATTAATTAATTCCATTTGGTATTTGCGGTGGCCTTGAACAGAAGGTATATGAAATAGAGTAAATATGCAAGGTAGAATAATTTGCCCCAAAATGACATTATTATAGGCCTTTGTTGTTTAGAAAATAATGATAAGATTTTAGCTGGTTTATTTTACGAATAAAACCAGAAAATATTTCTTTTGAAAGATTATAAAATAAACAATCAATAAATTGTATAAAATGATGATTGTTTTGAATTGCAGAATATCAAATCCACATAATTTTATAAATAAGAGAAAAGAAAGCAATCCATCATAATGCGATAATTAAAATTCCTTCCGTGTATTTTAATAATCGCAACTCTTCGACTTAGCTATATTTGAACTTAATATATATGAGAGATATTTAGTAAAATCCGATTTATAAAATACTCAAAAAATCAAATATTAATGGAACCGATTAAAATATAATAAATAAAATCTGCAACGATAGTTTCTTTCAAATGAATCAACTTCTTCAACACAGTAAATACAATGTATTTCATTGGAACGAACGGTGAAAATGAATTTCACAGTTTTTTTTTGCAAAGTTTTCCCCATTATATAATTCATTTTAAATAGCGATTTGCATATCTTTAATATTACAAAGCTAACAATCAATGTAATGTAAAGAGAGGAAATGTCGATGAAAGTATGAAAGTGAACATTTTGTTTTGCGGCATTAATAATCGGCAATTTCATTACAGTGATATTTGTTGAGTTTGACATTTCCTCTCGATGCTGTACAATGTTTCGTTGAATTTTCAGAACAGTTATTAAAGAAAGAGAAAAAATATGCAAAAATTTAGACGAAACTTTATTATTTGGGATTATTGAAAACGAATCAATCGATCAATGTAAATTGAATTTAACAATTCACCATTGTTTTTTTTTTTTGATAAAGGAGTAGAAAACTATTATAAATCGTATGAAAAAATTTTTAGCT